TGGTGGCCTCACTGTTTCTACAGCCCCCAACCCATCCCGCCTTCACTGCCATTGCACATGCACATTACGCATCGGTCTGCTCGGCCATTTTCGAATCTACCATACACAGACTGGTTGATCAATGCCAGCAACACTGCCCGTATACATTTAGCCACCGCAAGAGTCTAATACGGCACATGCGTCGCCGTAAGAACCTGCGGTAAAATACCGCCGACCAGACCACATCACCCCATCTCTTGAAACTAGCACCCACGTCACACATGACTACACCCAACATCACACACTGGAAGAACGTGATAAGCCCTTCTCACGCAAGTGGGAAGAGTGATCCTCGGCTTCTTCTGCATATGGCTTATCTGTTACATGTGTGCTCCGAGCCTGGCACTATCCTGGTGCGCTAAAGGCCGTGGCTTGTAAGGTTGCCAACTGACGGGACAACTCGGACGCGATCAACCCAGTGTGTGTTTGTGTAGAGTGACCAACTGGTAGACTGAGAATCAGGCTGCAAGGGCTCCTTCTTAATACAGCCTCTATAGTACTCCCATTCCATGAGATCCGAGTCAGGTGTGGTGGCCCGTTCAGGTGCGATTCTGACCGCAGCAGCCACCTGCGTCATCTTCCGACTGAGGTCTTTTTGACTTGGTCACGACACCTGACCTAGGTGGAGGGAGTGTGGTAGATGCATCGCGAGTCTACTCTCACTTTAACCTAATTCACGCGCATATCACCATCCCTGTGCCTATCTTTGTGTGGTGCACACGGCGGACCTCATGAGAGTTTACAGTTTAACTGTCAGGGAGTCCGCGCAAATTGTATTCGCGTGTGGATCACATGGATTGGACCTCTAACACCAACTAGGTATTGCGTATAACCTTATTAGCAGTCGATGGGTATGTTTTGACAGCCCATTGGTGCGTGGGAAACAGAAGAGAAAGTGAAGCCGAATTAGTGCGTTCAGGGGAGCATTATAGGAAGTCCAAAAAATCCAAAGAGAAAGACTATATCAATCAACATAACCCCAGATTAAGGCCTAGGTAACCGAAAACGGGATTTGATGTGTAATTTAATGAACTCTCTTGCTACGGCTCATAAATAATTAGGTGGACGAGACCTAGCGTCACTAATATATCGAAAGATGATTGTTCATGAATGAGGAAATGATGTGGCATAAAACCATTTGTGTTACAAATTTGCAAAGTGACTAGTGCAAGGGGCGAGCTATAGGCTATAGACTGATAAATGACGGGAGAATAGATCT